TATTCATCGTCTAGAAATCCTCGACTGCCGATGTTTACGTAGTTTGGCACGGGTTGGATAGAGCGAGCGTGTAAGCAACTCAGAGGTAAGGCGTCGTGCATTCGGTAATGATTCGATGGAGAATTCGTTGTCCCATCGAATTTAGATTAGCTGGCTTCGCTGGTTAGGACACGTATGGCGCATGCCCAGCCATCGTCAAACGCGCAGTTGCGAGTCTAGGTGGGGAAAAGCCATGTGGAAGTCAGAGATAACGTGGAAACGAGGCATGAAATGTACAGAGCGATTACGTAGAGTAGGTATCACGCGCCTTTTAGGTTGGGGTCCGAAATACTCCGCAACTGGTTGGTTAGATATGGTGACTAACCGACAGCAGTGGCGTTCTTGTTGTCAATTTGTATCAGGTCAGAATGCTTGAAAAGGTATGTATGTACAGCTTAATTGTGCACTCTATAATGACCATAAAGGTTCACTTTCTTTGCCTCCCTCCAATTAGGTCCAATCCCTTTCCATCTTGATTTGTATACATTGTGAGCTTGGTCGCGATCAGTGAAGTTCGCTTCACTGTATCTCGCTGTACGATGATGATGCACCCGGTGAGAGAATCACTTCACAAGCACTGATGATGTCACCTCCGCTGGTGATGAAACGTTTGCAGACAAATTGCCAAGCTCGGCGAACAGGCGAAATGGAAGAGAATCACTATGTTGAGGAATTTCAACTCACTGCCCTAGCGTGGCCGGAAGAAAAGCCAACGTGAGTCTATAACCGAGTCGGTGAACCACCACAGTGCATTCAGGGAGTTATGTGAAAAGCCTAGTTCCAAACCAATCAAAAGAAGCCGTATAGACCACACATTCACACAATTTCCTGATACGAGCCCCGTCTAAAAGGCGTGTAATCGGATGAACTGAACACTGGATCCCAATGGATTTCAGCTAACACACGTCGCCCAGCAGCCTTGTGGGTTAGGCTTTGTGTAGTAGAAGACTCTAGTTGTTAATCCACCAAGAGAATTCACCTGCATTGGCCTAAGTACCCTAACAGTATCCTGGGCACGAGCAAATGGCGAACTTTAAGCACTGATCTGGACTCAATAGAAGATTGACCAGACAGAGAATCGATGCAATACAAAAACATCTTTTGCGTCTCGATTGTCGTTCTTGATAGACCAGTCGAAAAAGGAAATATCAAGGTTGTGGGAAAGAAGATTGCCAAGGCGGGACCGGTGTCAAAGAGAGATGAGCCCTGGTGTGTCCGAAAATCGGACGGGGGTGTACAGTTTAGGATTTTCGAAACCAACTCTCCAGTATTCCGGTCTCTTAGATTTTCGGTGTATATATTTAAACACTAGTCTGAAACAGACAGAAAACCCGAAATGAAATGAAGGAATAGTTCAAGTAGGTATTCTCAACCAACATAGTGGCAGTTTTGATTTGGTCGGTCGCTGAGGTCACCACACAAGGCTGAGTGGCAGTCTCATTCGGAGCTTTCGACAGAGCAGTCAAACTCACAAGGCAATGTTTCTAGTCCAAAATCCACAGCGTCAAGGGTAATGAACTCAAAAACAGGTTTGTGGATAGCCCATGATTTGAATAAAAATCATAAATGATAAACGAGTGTAAAACACAAGTATGAAAGCAATGGCGCACGCAATACCTGAGCTGAGGGAAGGGGAAGTGGAAACTTACTGAGGAACCACCTGGTAGTCACTAGTTGGACGCATGTAGAACCCGTGATAGGAAATGTAATCCCTAGATAAATAAAGTGGTTTGGGGGAGGGAAGCAATAGCGATTGCGAATCAAGTGGCGAATGAATGATTCCGTATACATCAAGGGATATATAATATGACCAAGAGTATAATTACATATGTAAATTGAATCATCCGCAGGCAATGATGTGATACTGATCGGAAAAGCACCAGTGCAGCAGTGTTCTCGTTCACACATTCAACACACAAATAAGTTGATTACTTACGAACCCATTTGTGTTCTTAAAATCACTGAGGTATTCAGCTCCAGAACACATCACCAAAATAGAAATTACCGAAATTAAAAGTTGTCCACCGCCGTGTTGTCGAGTTGACTGAATGAAAATTTCTACAAATCTCATGAGATTCCTTGGATTAAACACATTAGACTGGTTTAGCCTTATAGTCACCAGGACGTAATATTCGATCACACCAGCAAGCAACCTGAGGACTGTGAGTTGTGGCAACCGAACACATATTACACCAACAGGTAAGGTTCACTCTAGTGTACAACATAAAATAGCCGTGTTTTGTCGATTAGGTGAATTGTGACTACTGTCAGGTTGCAAGAACAAAAGGACATCATGCGTTGATATAATTAGTATTAGTCTATACAGCGGAATTCGATGAAGAAAAGTGGTATATGACATTGATGGTGATTGATTGCATCGACATAATCGATTGTGAATTGATAAGCATTGACTGATCGAGTACAATGCATGCAAACTGAAACTGGCAAATACGTGCATAAATATCGCCCAGCCGATTCACCTCGTTTACGGCTAGTCTCCTCCCACCACCAACCCACTCTTACAACAATCGCTCACAGGCTTATTAGCAAAGATGAGGAGAGAACAGTACAGCACATGGACAACATATTCTCGTCCGAAGAGCAACATGATCATTCAATACACGTTGTGGTATGAAAGATATAACCAACTGAAAGAGGCGAATGTGATGGGAAGCAAGGAATATTTGCGCGGTAGCAGATCACAGATCTGGAGCGTGTGCTTTGCAGATGCACGAGTAGAGCAGATACTCGTGAATAGTGATCAACTGCAAATCTAATCAAGTGCTCGTGCAAGATTCACTGAATGAAGACGATCGCATCTTTTTTCTTGCGTTTATATAAACTAGTTTATAAAAGCATTTTACAACGTGCACCACAGGTGTAACGGTCTTTGTGATTCACCTAGACACATTGGGTGCCACCATCACTCAAGTTAGTTTCAACTCTATCTGGCCTATCTGAACGAAAAGAAATACAGTTGAACAGAGAAGGTTGGTCACTGATTACGACTGGTTTGGTTTGTGTTGAAAACCAACAGTGTCCACATCCGACAAATGTGTCGAGCAGTAGTCTATGAGTTTTGACGAGAACACGGGACAAATCAAACTGGAAGAAATGCTGAAAAAAACCCAGATTTTTGTAGATCGAGGATTAAATGTAGGAGAACGAACATGAAAGCACTAATGATATTCTGTTGTGAAGCCTGATAAATTCGGGGCACTCTTTAAAGGTATCACAAACTGTGTTCCAGTTTCGTCAGGCACCTCGAGGATAAACGCATCCAATGGTTTCTCGTCACAGATAGAGGTACAGTAGACTGATAAACAAAGTAGCAGACAAAAAGGTGAACGACAAATGCACGTGCCGAAATGCAACAATCGATATATGCATGTTACACTGAGAATGAATAATGAGTCCGTAACACCGCTCGATTTACACGTACAAATAACGAATGTACACAGACACGCACATTTATTCGGCCAACACCGACATACAGCACAGACGTCGATCCGGAAGTACCGCGGGCTCAGGATCAACACATACACCTTCGGCAATTAGAATTGCACGTATTTTGTCGACTGGTGACTAGGGGTGAACAGAGCCTGGTGTGCATACGCACGAAAGCAATCAGATGGAACGGTTTCGGGTCAACCTGCATCAATTTGTTGGGGCACGATTGACATTAAGATTGCGCTTGGTGGTCCCATAGTGCACACGTTTACGCATTACACGGATAGCGGAAATTGATTATCGTCTATCTGCTATGTGGACAGTGATTGGGCAATCAATGGTTGGTTGCACTGAGTTGGTTTCAGCGTTTCTGTCTCAATTTGAAAAGATAGCAGGTAATCGTCAAGGTGAAACACTGTTCCACATGACGAAGAACACTTACGTGTATCGAGAGAACGAAAACTGATATAATATTAAGCATCAAGCAGATGAGTATGCTGCAATAGATCACGAAATTCAGCTGTTTTGAGTGAACGCTCATTTCTGGCGATTGTAACAAGAACGATATGCTTTAGATTTAAAAATATATACACAAATGGGATTTGTGCGGAGAAATTATGCGCACGAATCGCGCTACTTGGTCTGTGTGCAACCTCGAAGATCGGGAATAGAACAGGGACAAATGATGTCGGAAATAAGAATATGTAGAGAAAATGAGAGGAAAACACGTGACTCACGGTTCTTCGTAGTCCGAACTGTAAGGCTCCGTTTTACGATACAATCCGGCCAGTTTGACGGCAAAAATGATGCCCGGGATGAACAGAAGCAGAGCTAAGCCCAAGCCGGCCCAGAATGCGTTCTGAACAAAAAGCATGCAAATGAACAAAGGGGAACATGATAAATCAGATGTTCTGGAGAGGCTGAGTGAGATACGTATGCTCGTAGCATTCACACTAGATCCAAAAAAATACGAACCAACAGGCGCCTTAACAAAAGGAAAAATGACCTTATCAAATTTGTTTTTGCTGACAGGTAGGAAGCAGGATATACCTGGAAAGCGGAACCTTGAGAAACATGGAGACCAAATGATCAATCAATCGATTGTTTACTTTGCTGAACATGCTAGTACCAACTGTAGTCGGATGTGCATAAAAAGTGAAATAAATTCAGGCCTCAAGTAGGAAATCTCAGTAAATATCACGGAAAGAAAATCTAGTGTCTGCTTGTTACTATACATTTGGTGAGTGCAAACAGGTGGATAAAGTCAAATTGTTTAACAACTCCTTGCGATATGAAACGAACCACCACAACCACTGGGACAAATATCATGCATAAGGCATATGAATCAAAAGAGAATAACTGCAAACAGCCACATGAACTTGGATGTATGATGTGATAAACCTGAACGCTGCCGAACAGTGTCACCCCGAGTCTCTTTGCACAAACTAGCGTTTCACTAAATTCCTGCATAGCAGAAAACAGTATAGCAAACAATGACGAAAAAGCACATGAGTTTCTTGTCAAAAAATTCTTACCGACATCGTCCTAACAAGTAATACTGAAACACATCCTTATTCAATCAGTAATCAATCGTGTAAGATTTGTTCCCATAGTTTGTAAATGAGTTCACTCCGAATCCTGCAGAAGTGTGAGATTTTAGTATGGTGCATTTCAAAATGAAGCCGCAATCAATTCGCTCGTTTTTATTACTGAGAATCTGTCCTGAGGTGGACTAGAAAGGCGTTTTGCAAAGAAATACGATAAATTATGGAGATACAGGTTCATAGAATACAGTTGGGTAAGTAGCGATTCAGCGCCAAAAACGATACAATCATCGGTTTCGAGCAACCGGGCTCTTAAAGTAGGCAGTGCGGTAGACTGTAATGTAATGTAAATTTATTTTTTTCGTCTGATGCCATTATAAAGTATGTCACTTAGTCAGGTTTGGAGCAAGGGTATTTACGGAAGTTTCTCACAGAGCCAGTTTGGACGCATCAAGCGCGGTTAAAACAGTTTGTTTCATGTGGACAACGGAGCGCTTTGTCATATGCAATGAATTAAAACTAGATGTATTGACTGCCATGTTGGAAACTGACGGCCACTACAAATCTACTGACAACGGAGCTGTACGGTACTGGCGCGTCCCCAGGTCATGGATAAGAAAACGGTTCTAAAACTGGCGAACCACGAAAAGATGGACCATCTTAACTGATTGGACAATCGCAGACGATCAGCGATTGTTTCAAAGAACGTGGCAGATTTTCGTATAATAAGCGGTCATTCTGTAACAAAGAGCCATAAATATCCATTAAAAGTATTATGAAGTGTGCGAAAGCAGTCGGTCACTAAAATTGAACTGCCAACCTGAGTTTGTTGTTCAACACGCAACAATGGATTTATCATCATCAGCAGCAGCAGCAGCAGCAGCAGTACTGTACAGCGTAATACAGTGAAGTTCGCTTCACTGAATGAAAATATTTTGGGGACGGGAGAAGAAAGCGAACATCTTTGATTAACATACAGAGAGCATAGTCCAACTGTGTGCAAATATTATTTCAAGCATTCTGGTCTGATAAGAAGTGACAGGAAGAACACCACTGCTGTCGGTTCGCAGCCATGATCTTCAGTGTCTCCAACCGTGCGGTTACGGAGTCTTTCAGACCTCGAGCCGGAAGACGAGAGACACCTACTCTACCTAAGCGCTCCATGCATTTCTTCATATCTCGTCTCCACATCATCTGTTGGCCCTACGTGGTTTGGATTGTTCAAGAGTTAGAGGCCCGACCTCAAGGAGAAAGGCCGAGTGGGATCGAGGATGCCACTTTGTCTTGTATTCCTAATCGCAACTGTGAATCGTACACGAAACCGAACTATGCTCGGATTGGAGTGAAGCATTTGAAATTAAAAGCAGGTGAGACCATTTATGGCCTAATTACAGTCTGAAATACAATTCAGGCCAAAAAAATAAACATTTATCACCGATCGATACATAACAGTGGTTTAAAACATTTTGACATCAGTTTCAGAAAAACTTGCATAGCGGAAAACATTGATACCGCTTATGCCTCCAATAGGATTTCACGGCTGCTTACTTAGATAACACAATACTTGGTGGCAAGACAAAAGGCTGTAATGTACACATCGATTAAATTAAAAAAAATAATCTGTCAGTCGTCATCCTAGGTAACTGATGATCCGTCACTGTTGATGCCACCGTTAACATGTATAGCAAAAGTGCTCCAGATAAACCAACAGGGAGCAGCGCAGTGATTTTCTCCAGATTTGTAGGAGTCACAACGAGAGGACAACTAAAAAAAGTCATATTTTTAACTTGAATGTACCATACCCCGAGAATTATTTTATCGTTAGTGGTGTTTGAAAAGGTAACTAGTTTCGATAATGAAGAGAAAAATATGGAACAGCACTTCCAATGATTCCGAAGCCGTTTGGATTATGATTTTAAACCGATTAAGTTTTTTCGATAATACAATCATTAAATTTGCACTATCATGTGACGGGTTTGTTAACTTTCGATTTAACTTAACTAGTCCAGCTGCACATGGAAGAGCGTAAACTCTGCAACGCTACGCAAAACAACAGCCCGGGACCCGCTTACTGTCATTTTGACGGCTCCGCTTAGCGGGTAATTTAAAAATCACCTGAGGGGGAAAAAATCCAGTGAAACCATAACCAGGCGTACAACTTACCAAGGGCATGAGTGCTGTAATACACACGGAATCCACTCCACGTTTTACGGCAATCCGAAGGGAATCGCAGGGAATGTCACGCCAAGTAGCGATAACCGCTAGTTGCAGTTCCTTCTCGAATACGGAACGGAACTTAGTCAGTCCAGCATCCATGGTCTGCGAAATGAGACGGAGATAAAAAAAAGTGCTTTGCGGAGATTCCTATGACAAAACGAGTGCAACATGAGCAGGCCAAAGAAGCTGACAGCGAATTGACTGATGTAAGGAGAAATACGGTTAGAAAGACTGAAAAATATGTTACCATTTACTTTGCTCTATGCTTCACATCCTCTACTTATCGGACACGAGCTACCACTGATTTGATATTCGGATGTCTAATCTCTTTTAGATTAGGAAACCTTCAAACACAAAAAGTTACCGATAGACTAATCAACCCTTACGATTACGGGTGTCGTTGTGACACCACCTCGAAAAAATGACCGAACTACGCATATGGCACCCTCCACAACGCAAAGACAATTGAGAACGAGGCCATTATAGTGCTTGTTTCTTTTTGAAGTGAAAATATGTGGCACAGTGGGTGGAGAAATAAAAACAAAAGTTTCAGACAGCAGAGAATGAACGTTTCCGACCGAGAAACAGACGCACCGAGCGAGAAGCTTCCGTCTGTCCAGTTAGTCATTTATAACACAAGCGAACATGCAAGTTCACTAAACTTTGACCGTAACGCACCAAACAAAAATCGATTCACAGGCCCGGATTATGGTGTTAAAATAGTTAGTCAACTGACAGTCGGCAAGTACAAAATGGTTAGCTTCTTTTACTAGCATCAAACACAAGCCATTTGTGATATTCGGTATAATATGAAGATGATGATTGATGATATTTTCCTCAAATCAAAAGGAAATTTTTTGCCAAATTTGAAAAGGATTTTGATCCGCTAGGGTATTTTTCCGATGGAGCGAATCCAAACAACTCTATTCATCGGACAGCATGAAGCACCAATACGAAAATCTGTTCCGTTGATGAGCCGTTCGACACCGCCACAGACACACGATCATAAACACCATCATCATTGTACAGCAAAACACAGTTAGACCGTATTCGCTGATCGCTGTGAAACTCACAAACCACACAAAATTGGATTATGTAAGGTGCATGGGAAGTCAGCCTGCTTTGAGGGAAGAGAAAAGGAAGCAGCGCACAGAGTACATAGCCTAATTGTTTAATTAATTAATAGTTTAATTGTGCATACGCATCTTTTCAAGCATCGTAATGCGTGAACGTTTCGGGTTCCACGCCCACTCTTTCTCAAAACAGCTTTTACAATGCAAGAGCAAACGTTAGTGGATGATAATCTCTAACGATAATATGCAGTTTTACACCAGAAAGACACATGGAGCATCGATTTCTAGCATTGCTCTTTGTCGGTCCGTGACATTTTGCAATATCTCAGCAGCAGACTAAACTGAGATAATTTTGTGTAAGCACTGGACGAAACCCTAACGTTCATGTGGATGGTACACCAGTGCTTGAGAACTAGGAGGCTATTCAACATGTTTCGTTATTTCATAATTCCATGAGAAAAGTGGAGCATTTTATTCGTTTAAACAGTGATTGTCGTGTAATCAGAAAACGAGGTGTGAATTGAAATTCTAGGAAGCACCGTAAAGATGTTTCGATCTGGTTTGGGTTCACCATTAATGAAAACCCACCGATCCAGCTGCAAATCGAACCCGGGACCTCACAAGTAGAACGCAATCATACCACTCACTAGCTCATTAGACACGTTTCATTTGATTTATACACGATATAGCATAACCCTTCCTATTAAAAGCGTTACGAGGCATCATATATCGCCCATCTACACACTAATCTCCGGGATCCTGACGCGGTTGGAAACATCCCGAAACTAAGTACTGGATGCATGAGGTCCCGGCTCTTTCTTGAGTCAATAAATTTACACTGCTGATGGAATCCAATCAGGTCACATAAGCCACATTCCGCTGGGGGATGAGTGGCTTGAGTTGCAGTTGGTCGATTCTCCCCTGCACCTCACCCCTATACAACCAAGCGTCTCAAACAATCTCTGATGAGGAAGCCCTACTCACTGCCTTCTAGTGGCTGAGGTGTTTCCCACCAAAGCGAGAAGACGAAAAGCCAACATCCGGGGCTATAAGGGGGTCGATGAACCACTGGCAATTCACTTAGGGGAGCTGTATCAAGATCGAAAGAAGACATATGTCGCGAGATGTTAACATTTCGTTTAATCTTCTCAATCGCTGACGTAAAACAAACAAGCACATTTATAGCACATTGAATTTGTAAATCGTTGAGAACGGAGCTGGCNATCGGGGTGTATGGACACTTTAGATGTTTAACCCCGTCTAAGGGCGTATGACCTGACGAACTAGATACCGGCCCTAATTGGATTGCGGTTTTGCCACACAGACCCGTTGTCTTGTGAGTCAGGCTTTGGCTAGCCGAAGATCGCGGTTGTGAATTCCCCAAGAAAATTTGCTTGCTTTGGCTTGAGCAACTTATCAGTAACAC